GGGTTTAGGGTTATCTATAAGTCAAAAAATGGCATGCTAAATTTTGGTACTTCAACAGCTTGCTTTACGCTGCTTAACTTAATCCTTCTTATAACCTCTGAGTGAGGCTGTACACTACGTTTTTCCCATTCTTCAGGCTAAGAATTTAATTGTTACTCCTTAAATCATAACTTGAGTGACTTACCACTTGTGTATACTGCATTCAAAATTCTCGCAATGGTGGACAAGAATACAGAAGGAAACATACACAGAGTTGGATTTTGCATGTATGGGATTAGGGGCTGAAGAAAGGTTAGTATTTAGACATTGCCATATTATTAACATCTGTAGGTATAAGATCATGTAGATAACTTCTGAATAACCAGTAGTTAAAGGAGCAGCAATTAGAGCCTCTTATATTACCCTACACTAATAGAGTTCTTGGATGGAAACAATCAAAGCCTATTCTGGTTAAATTAAGGAAAAGAGGAATTTCTTGGAAGGCAGTTGGGTAACAGAATCCAGGAAGGTTGGGCAACAAGTTCAGGTATTAATCAAGGGAGGCAAGAAATGGCCGAGGCATGGTCATGGGATGATCCTGCCGGGGACACTTCTGTTTGCTATTTGGGGACTCCCCACTGCTGCTGGCACCATAGTGAATGTTCGTTTCATGCTGCTACATTCTGTCTCCCTTAGACACTTGTTTCTCTGCTTCTGGATCCTCTAATCTACCACAGCCACCATGAATAATCTCTGACAGATCCCACACTCCTTTAAAGATCTATGGGAGCATGGTGTGGGAGCATCTGATTGGCTATGCCAATTTACACAGCCACAATCTAGCCTCCTGGGAGAAGAGCAACTATCTGTCTTTCTCTGATTTCCCCAACAGAAAGTGAGCTCTGTCTTCTACCAATTCTGTGATTCACCTAGATAGGAGTGGAGTTTAGATCCCGGCTGTCTTAAATGAGTGATGTTTAGCTCCACATACCCTCATTTTGGCATAGAAATGTGCCTAAGAAAAGCTGAGATGGCCTCGTTTATATAGAACGGTGTTCAAACAAATCATGCTGTTATATCAATGGCAATGAGTCTAATTATCACAAGTTTATTTCTTTAAATCTGTGGTCCTCCTGAATCTATTATGTCCACAAAGTGAATTTGTTCATGCTCTGGGTTTGTCTGACTCAGGAAGGAATGTTTGCATACATGCTGACTTCTTTCTCACTGTGTGGCTTTGCAATTCAAAAGATGTAAAGAGGTTTTCCCTGGCTTTCAGCCTCCCTATCTATTTTGATCATGGAGGTTAATAATGCTGAAAAGCACTCAGAGTATATAAGGCCGCTGAGAAAATGAGAGCTCTATGTTTTATGGCTGGGACATGATTGGTAATGTATCTGCTGGGAAAGTTGCCATTCAAAATGCAGCAATGAATATTGGATTCCATCAATTCTCAGTGATTTCTCCCTTCCCCTACCCCACCCTGCCCCCTTGCCTACCACTTGGGAGGGGAGCATTCAGAGCCTAGATCTGAGCATACTGGTCAACCCTTTCCTTGTAAGGCTCTGCCAGTATCAGGCAGTGGATTAGCACTCTGGTTGAACATTGGAATTACCTGGGAACTTTCAAAAAGCCTGATGCTCAGGTGTCACCCTAACCTTGACGTGAACCAACCGTACTTCGGGACAAACACCAGGCAGTAGAAATGGAGACAGCTTCACCTTTTCCTTCCTTCCTTCCTTCCTTCCTTCCTTCCTTCCTTCCTTCCTTCCTTCCTTCCTTCCTTCCTTCCTTCCTTCCTTCCTTCCTTCCTTCCTTCCTTCCTTCCTTCCTTCCTTCCTTCCTTCCTTCCTTCCTTCCTTCCTTCCTTCCTTCCTTCCTTTCTTCCTTTATTTATTTTTAATTTTTGGTAGGATTGAAGTGATTATTCCTGAAACAAGTGCTATTCAGTACAACAAACACAGGCTTGCATTTCATTTTTCTAGCTGTATGGTTCAGAGTAAGTTACTTTAGTGCTCTGGCCTTCAGTTTCCTCACTTGTAGTAATTTCTGCTTCCCAATATTTTGGGGACTATTAAATAAGAAATTTCATTTAATTTCTTAGTGTTAACACCTGGCACACATAGTAAAGGTAGATAGCTGAAGCCTTTAGAGTTTTCAAAGGCATTTCCATGTCTACTCTTTCATTAGGCTTTTGGCACCATCCTTCTCCATAAGCTAGTCTGGATTTTTTTTTTTTTTTTTGCACCATTTTAGAGATAAAGGTACTGTGATTCAGAAAGTGTGAGTGAATTGCTCACAGTCACACAGGTGGCATCATGATAGTAGGACTAGGGTGTCACTTCAGGTATTAAGTCCCAGACGAACAATTTTTACACCACAATAAATTATATTACAGAGAGGGTCAAATGAAGAAAGGAAGCGGGAATGGCACAGGGATAAGTAAGGTGGGGTGGTCCCTCTTGAATGTAAATGATGGAAAAAGAGACTGTCATAGGGATGCTCTTGTGCATTGGACTTAACTGTGATGTGTTGAAGTTTTATAAGAGTTCATAGAATTTATTCAAGCAACTCCTTGATTCAACTTGTGCTTCACTGTTAGTGCATTTATAGAGTTTGGGAGTCGAGGGCAGTAATAGAATGTAGTTATATATCACCTAGGAACCAGATGGGGATAAGAGTAAAGCTAAACAGATCAATATATTATTTTGAGCCTGAAACAGTGACTGCGACTATTATCTGGTGTGTGTGTGTGTCTATGCTCATAATCACATGTGAGTATTACAGCCTCATATAAGCTTGAGAAAATAGAGGAAAATACATAAAAGGAGGGAGTCCAAGAGCATTGTTATAGAGTGGTTAAAAGTTCAGCCTTCAAAATCAGTCGGAGTTAGGTGACTTTATTAGCTATCCCTTGAGCGAGTTACCTATTTGCTCTGACACTTGGTTTCCTCACCTGTAAGTTGGTATAATAACACTTAGCTCATAACATTTTATAAAGGATTAGATGAAGTAAAATATGTTACTCAGTCCAGTATATGATGCATGATCAACCTGCAATAAATGTTAGCGTAATCAATCAATCAATCAAGTGATCCATCAGTAGCCAGGAATTGGAGTTCTGAGTCTGGGCACCTAGCCACCAGTCTCTGTGCTTCCAATCACAGAGTTTTGAGACCTCCATGATGTCAAATCAACCTGTATCTACATCAGTTTCTCCATCCATGTGATAGTAAAAATTTACCCCTGTTAAAACTAAACTTTCACTATCTGCTTCCTAAATGTCACTTGAAAAGAGGAAAGTTGGGTGAAGTCATCCTTGTAGGAGGGAGGAAGATTTAAGGAGTTCTAAGATTTATTATTTAAACACAAATCCTGTACCTTAAAACGGCCCGAGACTACTAGTCATTGTGTTTCATATGGTTAAAAGTTTCCCTTCAACTTGGTCTTCCATACATTCAGTTAAAAAACACTATATATAATATATATATTTATATGCAATGTTTATGGAGGAATGCAGGGTGATACTGACAAATTGATCATTTCCCTGCTTTCTAGATCTGTTGTTTTAGTCGCCCTGTTGTAATGTCGCTCGGCCTGTGGCTCTTCCACAAAGCTGTACTAATAATGGCAGGCAGTGCTCTATGGGATCAACTCCCAAATGTAACATCTTTTGCGCCAGCTTGCATGCTAGACAGTAACATAAGAGAGTCCTGAGACGGGAAAAAAGAGCGGCTGACAGTGAATTGTGAGCTGCCTCCAGCTGAATGGTTATTTTCCGGGGGAGTCTGAAAGTCAGGTGTGCATAGGTAAGAGTGAAGGCCTTGCAGTTAGCTTCCTCTGGACCTTGCGTCCTGGCATTGCTGCTGGCCATGGGGGGACTGGACTAAGTTATAGTCTTATAAAAAGAACTTACCCAGTATCCTGAGGGTAATAAGTGGCTGAAATTCAATGGGCTAAAATTTTTCTCTAAAGCTCAGATTGCTCATCTCTAAAATGAGAATAATAATATTAAAAGGCTTGTTGTAAGGACTGGATAAGAGAATTATTTTAAAGTGCTTAGTGAAGTTCTTGGTACATAGAAAGCATTTTAAAAATTGACTAATTTTTAATACTTTTAATAAACTGATAATTTTTCTTTGTTTTCTGGAACGGATCAGAACAAAGGGGAGGAATCTAATATATACTGGCTATCTTTTAGTTTTCAGGAACTTTATATATTATTTCTTTGAATAACCCCCAGAATAGTATGTGATAGAAATTCTTAGTCCCATTTTATAGATGAGCAAATTGAGACTCAGACAGGTCAAGCAATTCGTTTAGGATCAACGTAATTAAAAAGCTGTGGGCTGTAGATTTCAATTCGTTGTATGTGACCTTAAAGCCCATGGTTTTTCTATTTAATTTAACAGCATCTATTCAATGAGATTAGAAAAAATGGAATCTATTCAATGAGATTAGAGAAAATGCAACCTGTCTCCTTGCCATTATGTTTACTCAGTACCAAATCTAAGACACAACTGATAATTTTATTGAATCCACCAGTTATAGGGATCATGTAGACCTAGTAATTACTCAACCCAGAAATGCTTTCTTCTACTTGAGATTAAACAGCCTACCAAGAAATGTGGCAGAATTTTCCTCCACCAAAAGTCTCTAAAAACAGGACAGGTGATTTGTCTCTGCCTGTTTTATCACTGGCCTTTGAGGGGGTGATGGAAAAAAAAACCAGCCTTTTGGAGTTTCTTCCTCATCTATTCTGTCTCTGCAATATGTTGCAAAGGCATTTCTTTTCATCTTAAGCAAAATCCGGGAGTAACTTAGTACATAAAACAGTATCGATGAAAGGAATCAATACTAATAACTAACATTTATATAAACATTTCAGAGCTTCCAAACTCCTTCACATATATTTTCACCTGAAACTGATATCAACTATGAGAATAAAGATGCACAAGTATATTAGTATTTCCTTTTCTTATCATGTGAAAAAACAGAGGCTCAAAGCTTAAAGAACTTACCCAATATCCTTGAGGGTAATTAGCAACCATATTTAAGTTTGAATCTGTTCAACTCCACAGCCAGAGCTCTCTACCTAAGACCTCATTACTCAGAGCAGGGTCTTAGAACGAGGAGCTGGCAGCTTGTCAGAATGTAGAATCTTTGATCTCACTCCAGACCTGCTGCACCCATATCTGCAGTTTAGCAAAACTGCCATGTGATTCGAGTGTTCAAATATTACTCTCTGAGAAGAGCTAATTCTTAGGCAACATCATCTCTCACATTTGTAGCATTACTGTTATTCATATTAGCTCAAAGGCACAAGAATGACCATAAGTAAGAATTCAATAGTCTCCCGCTGAACACTGCCCCATCCTCTTTTAAGTAAATGGCACTTGACTTGTTTTTAAGCATAAAGCATTCTTGTTTTATTTTCTCTAGCTGGTATCTTTGAGTTATGTTTTGGGGACTCTAAAATGACTAAGTTGGGGTAAGGTGATAGAGATCACTCAGACCATAGTGCTGAACCAGGTGGAAAGGAAGCCCAGGCTATCGGACATTAAAACAGAAAGTCCTCTAGTTCTGCAAAGCACATCTTGGGAGGGGGACACAATTTACAGCTGGCTTTATCTGAGAACCTTCTCCAGGTTATTTCTGGCTCCCTTAGAGATGGGATGTACTGAGGCCAGACGTCCTGCGTGAAAGAACTCTCTTCAAACAGCACCTGGCACTTCCTTCAACTCCAGCAAAGCCCCCGAGAGCTGGAGCAGGCTTTCGCTGCCCAATACCTGGGCTTTCTTCTCTTTAGAGCCAACTGTGTTTCTAAGAAATGTGTGCTCTCCGGACAGGCTCCTTCAATTACACAGCACTGCCTCTGCCCCTGGAAGAAGTATCCAGAGGGGGCCCAACGGCCTGCTGGCATCCTGGCCAGGCCAGCATGCTGTCTTCTCGCCAGTACGCCTCTGCATCCTCTGCTGGATAATGCTGGGAAGTGAAGAAGAGCACGCTGTAACACATTTTTGCCCTGCTATAAAAACAAGGAATTTATGAGCATGCCGGTTTGAAAAGAGGGCCTGGGGAATCATTACTGAAAACATAAAAGACTAATTTTCTCCATAAAGTGGCAGCAATAAATGTCCTGTAAATATGGGCCTCCACTGACTCCTGCTTCAAAAGCATATTTTTACCCCCAATCCAATAGAGTCTATTTCATGGTTAAACAGAGTAAATGACATAGACTCAGTGGCCATTCTCGCACACCTGGAGTGAGGCAGTGTACACTAAGGCAGGGAGAGCAACCCAGGGGGACACCAGTCACCTCTGGCTGCCTCCAGTCTGAGAGGGAGGGATGGAGGGAAGGAAGCCAGGAAAGGCATGGATATGAGGATGAAAAGGTGGCAAAGGAGGAGCAAGGAAGCCATCAGTGTGTGAAAGTCCAGAAAATTAGCTGTGGCGAAGTGGAGGCATTGCCCTCCTGAAGCTCCAGGACTCTGGGTGGATTCTTCTCCCTATTATGAAACATTATGAAAAATGGTATTTTCATAATATCTACTCATGAAAATTAAGTCCAAGTCTGGATATGGATTTCCTTATCCCCCAATTTGTGGATGTAACAAAGCATTTGAAATTGAGAGAGTTCTGGAAAACTTAAAAATTTTCCCTTACTTTTGCTTGGTCCGTCAGGTAGAGGAGCCTTGCTTTTCTGAGTTGCCGAGAGACTGTGGCAGTCCAGGCAGTGGGGTTCATGGGAGGGGAGGTACTGCTGTATAAGATACATTCCTGGGTCGGTGGGGTGGGGGGAAAGAAGGAGCAATGTGTTCTTCCATTGGCAGTAAGAGAATCTCTATCAGCAATAATGTTTACTCAAAAATAAAAGAGTTGGTAAGTAGAATGTTCTAGATTATGTATCTATAATATACCAATAAACATAAAATATTTCTTCAGATTTTACTTTCTGAGAGTAGGACAATAAGGCTGATTAGGGAGTTCTAAGCTGAGAAGATCCGGGGAACTAGGCTCTGGATGGAAGGTATTGTGGGAGGATGTAGAACAGCACATGAACTTCTGCTGTCATCCCCGTGTCATCTGGTTAAAAAAACCCAGTTTAAAAGGCAGAATGACACAGGTGTGGGGAAAATAAAAGCTAAGACCCAAGACTACAGAGCCAGATATATTGGGTTCAAATCTTAGTTCTACCTCTTAGCAGCTGGTTGACCTTAGGAAAAACATTTAGATTGCTTGCGCCTTACCTTCCTCATTTGTAAAGTGGGAATAGCAGTAGCGTTGGTATGAGAGTTAAAGGAGTTGATATTTGTAAAGCTTACAACAGTGCCTGGCGCGTAGTAACTTCATGTTGTTGAAGTCGGCTTCATTTACATGTTGGCTACTAAGTTAATATGAATTACTCGAGTATCCCACTTTACTTGCTATGCATCATATACAGGAGAGTATCTATTTTTAAAAGGACTATGTTCCTTTCCCACACATACTTTGGAGGCATTGCTGATGTAAGATTCTGTTTATATATCTAATAAATGCAAAGCGCATATTTTTCAGATGAATTCAGTGATTAATATATGATTCTGGGAAATTTGCTTCTCCCACCCCCAGTTTATCATACTCTGGTGCTTTTAAGGTGACTTCATTTGAGATGACTGAAGATTAGGCACGTACTAGTTTGTGGGTTTTCTGGTGACTGTGCTTAAATTTCTGATGCTTGAGTTTTGATCTCTTCTACTTTCTCATTTTTCTTATGTTCAAACTGTGATCTGTCTTCTTCTTGAGGCACCTTAATTCATGGGCCCATTTCTAGCCGCCTTACAGGTGGTCACTGCCCTGCAGGACTCATGCTTTCTCATTTCACCATGGAAAGATGTCTCAGTCATCATTTTCCTCTTCTTCCTCCATGACATTCTATCTGCTCCACACTGGAGTTTTGCATGGTCTCCTGTGGCTCTCACAGGAAGCACCTCTGAGAGACCATCTTTGAGAGTCATGAGATGCTAGGAGGTAAGGGCCACACTAGGGTGGTGTCAGGCATAATGGCAGGGCAGGTTGGTGCTAGGGAAAGTTACTTCTCTTTCTGGAATGGTCACACCCACACTACCTTCTGGGTGAAGGATGAATGGGGCAAACCTGCCACTTCTGAATCCTTGGAATCAGGTTACTGAGGCGTCCTCAATCATCAGTCAGAAGTTACAGTGTCAGCAAGTGCCTCAAACTGTTCTTTGTGTTGTAGGAGGTTAAGACAAAGGGTAAGAGATGTCCCTCAGCTACAAGAATATAAGCAATTGCAAATTTGTTTTGTTATGATTAAAAACAATCAGGAAAATTATGTTCTGAAAGATTAATCATGGTCTAGAAGAATAATAGGAGCTTAGAGATGGATTAAGGCCTGTGGCTTCCAAGAGAAAGTGAGATTTGAAGGAAGAACTCAGTTTAGGTAGGGAGACTTGGACAGGGAAGAGGAACATTCTAGGTGATAATAGAATGTGGGGTGTGGGGAATTGTGTCCATGCTGGCCTGAAGTGCTCCAGGAAGGGTGGGGGAAGAGGAACATTCTAGGTGATAATAGAATGTGGTGTCCATGCTGGCCTCCAGGAAGGATGAATGGGAATAATAATGGCAAAATCCACTTATTTCTCTGTTTCTCAGGTGAATTCTCATGCAATATCTGATTGGAAATGGAATTGGATCACAGAACCTAGCTAAAGTGAGCTTGATCACAGAGCTTGAAAAAGTAGGAATGCTCTGCCTACCGCTCATGGAGTCACTAGATTGGTTTGTCTGGCTTTCGCCCTGAATTCATAGATTTTTTTTACTGAGAGGGATCGGTCCTAATTGAACTGGTTTTCAGATTTCTGGGTCCCAGGCTCAGTTTAGTGACTCTGTGCCTCTGTTCCCTTACATTTCCTGACCCAGGCTTCCTTTTGCTTTGTCTGAGATAACTCACCTTGGGTCCAAATGTGAGTCCTGTAGAGAATGCAAAAGATCTATACCAATGCTCTCTGTCCTTTACTTGCTTAAAAAGAAGATAGGCTCATCTGTTTATGGACTATTAGGAATAATTAACACTTTTCTTTAGCTGAGAAGAAGCACATACTAATATAGTGAGGTCTTTTTTTAAAGAAAAAATGAGGAACGCATATATTAGTTTGACGTTACGCTTCATTATTAGCCATCATTTTCGACTTCTCAGAGTGCTGTCACCCACCCCTGAGGATCTTCACTGGGCTGATATTGGCACTGATTCAGATTATATTAGTGTAAATTTGGGTTTTCTACTGCCTGCTGCTTAATAACTATCAGCGGGTTTTGTCCCTATAGTATCATTAGCACCTTCTTCCTTCAGGTGCTGACTGGGGACAGCAGAAAGCCCCCAAGCCTATAGCAATTTACACCTATTGACTCTCCCTGCAGCTAATTCATCTTCATGATCTGTCAGATTCTTCACTCAACTTCTCTCTCACTACTCTTAAGGAGTGGGCCTGTCCAGAGTCAACTGATTTTTGAGCCTTGTAATAAGGTTAGGGAGACAGGGACTTTGCAGATATCTTGTTGACATCTTCTGTTTTCTGGATGGTATAAGTGAAGGTCAGAGAGGTTAAGTGATTTGTCTGAAGTCACACAGGAAGGAGTAGAGGCAGAGCTGGGCCTAGACTCTGCTTACCCTAATCTTTATTCCATATTCTTTCAATTGCCCTGACTGTAGCTTGGGACAAGGGAGGCACTCCCATGACCCAATCAGCTCTTGAATGTGTGGTCCCTTGAGATAGAGGGACAGTCTCTAGATTGAACTGTCATATTTTAACATTTCTGAAAAAAGCTAAAATCAAAAGTTGCAGAAAATTTTATAAGGTTGTAATGTGTTATTCTCAGAAGACTGTTCACGTATCAATTTCTATAGAGTACATTTATTCCTTACCATAATGGGTCAAATGGTCACTCTTGCTTTCTCTTTCCTTTTCTCTCTGCATCTGGTCAGTCATCTATCTGGCTGAGCATTGCTTCTTGAAAGTATTTCTCAAATTCTTTTCTTAGTTCTTGCTACAAAATCTCTCTCCTGTTTCAGATCCGAATGACTGCATTATCTTCTTAGCTGGTATCCCTGAGCTCTGCACTCTTGACCCCCATAAATCTGTCTTAAACATGCATTCCAAGGTCATGGTCCAAAACTGATCCTCTTCT